AGCGATGAAGTGGCGACAAGAATAATGTTATGGCTGGGGGGTCACCACCACATGAGGGACTGTAGTAAAGGGTCACGGCATGAGGAAGGTTGAGAACCCCTGATCTAACTGATCCCTATGATCTTTATGATCCGGATGGTACAGGTTTTTAAAAATAATACCGTGGGAGCTTCCATGTTGCAAACACAAAAGTAAGCCCAGTGTTTGAGTGCGGAAAGTCTTCGTGGACAAATGAAAACCTAACAAGCCCAAGGCCTGGGGGAGGCCATGTGGTCGGGCTGTCGTTCAAAAGATGGGACTCCTCCCTGTGGCCCATGGCGCTGGGGAACGGCAGGATCCCCGTTTGCCGCAGGGTTCTCGTCTGTCAAAAGGGACTTGCAGGCAGACATTCCACCGACAGATGTGGAGAGGAGAAGGACCAGTCCCGAGATGAAGAAGTGCTTCTTGTATCACTAGAGCTTGTGTGGAGCTGGCAGATTTTCCCAGCCACAGGCTTGGTTCCATTTTCCCCTCGTGTTTCACGAAAGTCTGGATTCATAAAGAGACACAGCCGTAGCTACAGCCGTCTTGCATGCCTGCCCTCCTGGTGACACCAAGAACTCGCAGACTCCTGGCGTTCTCCTCCGGGCTGCCAGTGGGAGTGGGCCTAGCCACCTTGAGGCAAGCGCCCCCTGTCGCTTCTTCCCCGAGCACTCAGCTGAGTTCACCCTCGCCCCTGTCTAAGTGGGAGCGTGATTGATGCTGACATCTTTGGCCCGGGCCCCTTACGACACTTGTGCTCTGGCAGGCTGGCCCACCTGGTGAAATCCAATCTTCCTCGAGTCTGGGAAGCAGGTGCTCTGGGAACTCCTAGCAGTGACATTCGAACTGCCACCTTGTCAACGTGGCCCCAGGGCCCCCTGGGCCGTGTCCAAGGAGCCATGAAACTCTTAATATGGCACAGGTAAGGACAGAGATTGTCTCAAATTCCACCGCGAGGCAGAGAACCTCTAAGCCTCGGGCCATGTGGAAGCAGGCCACCAGCTGACCAAGCTGGGCCCCAGAAAGGCAGAGGAAGTCACACGTCTTAATATAGCCACGGAGAAGGCTTGTTTTTCTAACTGCCAGCTCAGCTGGCTCTCAGCGCAGGAAGTGCCAGAGCTGGAAGTGCACCTTGGTTCTGACACGCAGCAGCAGCTCGGTCATCCGCTCGGAACGAATGATGTCATTCTCCAGGAAAGGCCTCCCTCGACCCTTATTGCCCCCAAACGAGGGCATCTCTTTCGAGGAAGCCGACTGGGTCCCTTCAGAAGGGGCGTTTATAAGAGTCGATCGATCGCTGCGTGGCTGGACTTGCCTGAAGACAAGTTCCCCAGTGGGAAGGGGACTGTAGAGGAGGGGCGCGGGAAGGGGACTGTAGACTCAACTCCCTCTAACGCCCTGGCTGTGAAGCGGACTTGGCGGAGGGCTTGGGCATAAGCTGTTCCACCTTCTTAGGCCCAGGGGATTGGATCAGGTGCTCTTGGGAATCTGTCTGAGGGCAGTGGTTGCACTTTCTGTACAGGAGACCTGGGTTCGGTTCTTCAGCAGGACACCTGAAGCTCAGGACCACCAATTGGTCAGTGGATGCTAAAGAGGTTTCGGCAGAGCTTCCCGACTAAGAAAGACTAGGAACAAAGTCCTGGCAGTGCCCTTCCCAAAAGGAGGCAACACAAAGTCTGTGGATTACCAAGGGCTCAGGTAGAAAGAAAATGTTTTGAAAACGACGGCAACAAATGTACAAATGTGCTTGACACAACGGATATATGTATGGATTGTG